TGTGGGTGTGGGTGTGGGTGTGGGTGGGTGGATGTGGGTGTGGGGTGTGGGTGGATGTGGGTGTGTCGATCCGCGTCTTCTAAAAGAGATACCCACACCCACACCCACACCCACACCCACACCCACACCCACACCCACACCCACACCCACACCCACACCCACACCCACACCCTTGTATGAAATCGATCTATCTCCCATACTTGTTGGGGTGCAGATGGATATAGGTATGGGTCTTCTCTTCAGCCAGATCCCACACCCACACTCACACTCACACCCACCCCCTTATACATCAATGAACAGTTTTTTTTTGCTAGTTGATCTGAACTGACTTCAATACGACATACAGTCCAAGACAAAAGTTTAAGTGGAATTAGTTTTTCAGTATTTTTTTCACATTTCTTTCTCTGTATATTTTTTTTCATATTATGAGGTATGGGTCTGATTCAAATAGTAATGCGGATGGTATGAGAGGCCAGCTACATGATGTATTATAGAACGAGACTCCATCTACCTATATGAATATTTTATAATAAAGAAATTTTTTTTCTATGAAAAAACAGCATAAGATATCTTCCAGTATTTCGCATTCTCTAACCAAGAGATTTATGCTAAAATAAAAGAAAATTATGTCAATCGATAGAGCATTTCACACTCTATCAGTTTATAAAAAAAAGATTTTTTTCTGGACTCGATCTTCATCTCTCAAACTTGATTTTAGTGAGAATAGTCAGTACTTTTCTCCTATCAAAATAATTAAGAAAGAACAGCTAGTTGTGTTTTGCAAAACTTTATTTCAATAAGGTGGCGTGAAAAATCAGTGATATTCGAACTTTAAATATAACATTTTGTTCAGTTTTGAACGCTCTTTCCAATAATGTATAAAACATTGTGATAAGAGGGAGTTTGTAGGAGGCAATTTCACTTTTTCCGTTTTGCTTACTATTCTCACTAAAACCAAGTTTGAAAGATGAAGATCGACTTCAGAAAAAAATCTTTTTTTTATAAACTGATAGAGCGTGAAATGCTCTATCGACTGATATAATTTTCTTTTATTTTAGCATAAATCTCTTGGTTAGGGAATGCGAAATACTGAAAAGTACCTAATACTGTTTTTTCATAGAAAAAAATTTTTTTTATTATAAAATATCCACATAGGTAGACGGAGTCTCGTTCTATAGTACATCGTGTAGCTGGCCTCTCATACCATCTACATCACTATTTGAATCAGATCCATACCTCATAATATGAAAAAAAATATACCGAAAAAGAAATGTGAAAAAAATACTGAAAAACTAATTTCACTTAAACTTTTGTCCTGGACTGTACATTCTGTCACTATTATCTACTATATAATTGTGTTATAATATTCAAACGTAACCCTTTGGGGACGGCTGGCCCCTTCAGGGGCCATGGTGATTCTCTAGCATTTCAAAACACACAGATTCCTATATGAGATTAGTTCTTATGAAAGCATTTATCAGAGAGTTTTTTGGTATAATTTGGATTGTAATTAGGTTATTTTATTCAGATATCCAGTAATGGGTAATAGGTTCTTTTAGAAAATAGAAATGTTGATTGATTTATGATGAAATGTACAGAAAAATATCCGTCCCCAAAGGGTTAATGTGAATGACATATGATCAGAGTTCGAAACAAAATAAAAATTCAAACTGATTCAAGATATCAAAGAGCGACAGAAAGTTAAAATGATAATGAAAAAAATTTATTTCTAGTTGAAACAAAGGATTCATTTTCAGTAAAGAAAATAACTTATCACGAAAACTTACTCTTTCTATTAATAAGGACTTCAACCACATGTTTTTAGCGAGAGTAATGCATCGCAATTCATAATAACAGTTTTATTAGAGCTAAATTCGACTTTAAGTAAAGCTATCTCTTTTTCGCTATGTTTTTCTAAAGAGAGAATAGATCGATGCTTCTTTCAGTTACTCTACGAATACATCATGCTACTATTTACCTGAATTTTGTTCGAATAGACATACATATTCTTCCCATATTGTAACAGTAATAGACGGTATTTGTTCTAATTTTGAGTCAGCCCTGACTCCTTTAGTGACAGCAGCCATTACCATTCGAATATCTTTATTCGGAGTTCCAATATGTTCTAAAAGATGTTTTGTAAATAAACCATTTTTGGCATTTGTTCCATCATTTGCTATTGTTCCAGGAGCGCAGGCGAATGCAATCAACATTCCGGCTTTTCCATCTATTTGTTTTAAGGCAGTTGACTTAGGAACATTTGCGTTCTTTGCACGGGCTAGTGCTGCGACTAATTGAGGATTACGTAAGTGATATACTCTACAACAATCCAAGAGAACTATCGTTGCAAATGGATGACGATCGTTGAAATCGTCCAGAAATTTTTGTATAAGAATCGCTCGATTGTGTATATTAATAGTCTCCATATTGTTATCATCTTTTGCTATAAGAAAATTTTGATCCTAAAAGACAAACAATCAATAGACTTTGCAAATATGAAGATATCAAGAAAGAGAGAAATACGTTAGTCAAAGATCCAATGACAATTTGACAAGAAAGATCAAACGATCTTATAATCGTAAAAACAAACTTAGATGTGTATAACACCTTGTTTGCTAGTATTCATATTGAGGCTCACCTAACATGCGTAACCCTTCAAACATACCTCCCATTGTGTTCCGTGTCCAGCAAAATAGAACAAAACCAAATCTCCTTCTCTTATTGAGTGTTTAAATTTAATTAGAGCGAGTTCCATATCTTTGTGTGTCAAATCTAATTTTGGTCCATCACAAATAAAACCAATGCTATTCAATTTAGATGACATATCACGCGCATCAATTTTTGTATTGTGTAATATTGCACCACTCTCATAGTCACCAATGCCAATAACAAGTGCCAACTTGCGGTGTGGTCTAGAAATCGTATTATATCCAGATGTGGTAGCCATTAGAAAACAATATCAATCTAAAAGAATAGATTTGATATCGCATGATATATCTAGATATGAAACCTAGTACAAATGTGTACCCATGTCTCAAAAACCACTTTATAAAAACTACAACATGAAACATAGAATATATTCGATCAGCGATCTTGATGAATGCCAAGAAATCAGTTCGAAAATTCAGTTATTTATTCTTGAGATGGGAACAGTTCGTATTTGTTGATCGAAAAGAAGAGTGTGGGTGTGGGTGGGTATGAGTGTGCGGATGGGGAGTGTGTGGGGTGTGGATAAGGGTGGGTGGATGTGGGTGTGAGTTTAAACAAAACCTTCAGACATCCACACCCTTAAAAAGAAACCACCGACTAAGGTCTTTACTGTAACAAGTATCAGAATATCATAGCAACATGCTATACTCTAAATTGTTTTAAATAGAATTGTTTCTAGTTACAGTCAAATGTGAAAATAATCAATTATAGTAAAGTATTTATTGTCTTGTACTTTAAAATATGTCAATATTCAGTATCTGTGTGTTAACAGGAGAATGAAGGATAAAACACCAATTTATTCACCAAAAATTCCAATTATACCTGTTATAGAAACTGTATGAAACGATTCCTTATGCAGCTAATGGTAATATTCTTCGTTCTACTAATTGTAACTTAATACTGTACGCTGATAGATTTTGATACTATTATCATTCAATAGGTAAATTTTATGAGCTTTTGATGTCCATCGATAAATTGACTTTCGTCGCTGATCTTCGTATGTTCGCACTACTCCATAAAAGAACCTTAAGTTAATTTGATCTTATATTCGTAACAAAAAAATAGTACTAGCTACACGGAGAAGTAATAAGCTATTCGAATGCATCTATATACACTGTAATATCTTAACATATAAATAAAGGATATTTTTAGTATTTCTTTTGTTTTTGTTTTAATAGTAAAATCTGATCAGCTGCATCGTTGAAAATGTTATTTAGATTGTGTGATTCTGTTTGGCAGCAGTTCTTCTGAAATGATGTTTATTGTATATGTGAGGGTTGTGAATACGAGTGTGAGTATAGGTATGGAGTGTGCTGATGTGGCGTTTAAGTATAGCGGTTGGTGGATTTAGGTGTGTTCGTGGTGTTGGAGTTTGGGTGAGGATGCGACTTATGATGTTTGGTGTGGATGTATTGCGGTGTTTGAATTTGAGTATAGTCATGGGTGCGTGGGTATAAGTGGAATTGGTCGAATAGTTGAAGAGAAAAGCTACGCTGCAAGAATATCAACATTCCCTCTAACATGGCCACCGATAGGAGCACCAACAGACGCACCCACACTTATGAGGGAACCTCTCGAGGTGATAAAAAGCCTTTGGATTCGGACTAATTTTATCGTGTAGACTCTAGTGAGTAGTGAAATACCCCAAGTTGGTTCGTTCCTGTATTGCTTTGGGAGGGAGTTATGACCGATTTACTGATTTTTTTTGACTTATGGTACCATGTGAGTAGTAGTAGTAAATGAGTGACTTTGGATCTGAAATTTTGTCAATAAAGAGGTCTGATAAACACTAGAATATTCCATAAGTTTCAGACAAAACGAGTGCATCCTTCTTGAGATAGTGTATGTTCAAAAAATGGTTGTCCTGTAAGATAAATATTTATTTCGTACGAGAAATAGCCAATTTTTGAAAATCCATTACCTCAAGAAGGATGCATTCGTTTGTCTGAAACTTATAGGATATTCTAGTATTTATCAGACTTCTTTATGGAGACAAAATTTCAGATCCAAAGTCAGTCATTTACTACTATTACTCAAATGGTACCATAAGTAAAAAAAAATCAGTAAATCGGTCATAACTGTCTCCCAAAGCAATAAGGAGACAGATCAACTCGGGGTATTTCACTACTCACTAGGATCTATAAGATAAAAGTAGTCCGAATCCAAAAGCTTTTTATCACTTCGAGAGGTTCTCTCGCGAGCCTCAGTCTGCTGAGTGTCTGAATTGTGGGGTGGGGTGTGGTTGTGATTGAAGACGCAAGTCTCATCCATACTCATATCCTTCGCATGAAATTTTCGTCAAATATCTGGCAGATCTAAATCGAGAAAAAGAATAAACCTGAGCTTGCCTATTCAATGTCTCGCATGAGATCCAGAGCAATCATTGTTGAAATTAATAGAGCAAAACAAAACTAACTTATTCGATTCATTTCAATATGATGCTAGATAACTATCAGAAAAATTAAATGAGGAAATGGAGACTAAAATTAGTTTTCTTATTCAAACTCTATTACAAAACAAGACGAAAGTAAGAGAATAACTAAATAAAGAAAAAATTTCAGATTAACTTTCTAATTAAATATCCATTGTAAAATACTCAAGAATTTTTGGGATAGTTGAACAAAAACAGCGACAACAAATCTACCCTTTCCGTTTCTCTCAGAAGAAATGAACAAAGTATGAAAATAATTATCAGAAAAAAAACATGAGATTAAGTTACATGATCTTTGTTATAAAATGCACGATTACTCTCCGGGATAACTGAACGATAAAAGAGAAAAAATAAACAAAACTAACCGTTTAGATTTTTCTCAGAAAAATGACGAGCAATACTCAGAATAACGCAATGAAAAAGAAAAAGAAGGCATTTTTTTTAATTCTCTTGTTTTTGTAAAATCTTCGGCAGCTATTGGAATAAGTTAATAAAAAAGAAATAAAATAAACTAACTTTCTCCGATTTACTGTTAGGCGTTTCTCGGAAAAATGACAAAGCATACTGGTAATAACTAACCGAAAAAGGGAAAGGAAAGCGTGTTTTTTTTCATTCTGTTGCTTCTGTCAAATCTCCGGTAACTATTGGAATAAGTAAAATAAAAAAAGAAGTAAAGTAAACTAACTTTCTGCGTTTCTCTGTTAAAAGAACAGTTAGAGTAGTTATGCAATTAAACGAAGAGTAGCAAAGTAAACAAGCTTCCATTTTTCAGATAAAATTAACGATCACTACAAACATAATTAAATGATGAAAGAGACAAATCAAATTGAATCAACCAATTCGAATTGTCCTTATGGCGATGCACAACTATGAGAATGAATAATTTAAGACAGTAAACAAAAAAACAATAATATGACAGCTGAATTCCTCGAAGAAAATTGCTAAACGTGCCATGAGAACTAAATAAAAGAAAGAAAATTACACTGACGAGAGAACATTTCCGAGTGATTTTGCTCCATTTTAGTTCATTCATATCTCATTCAAGCGTATTGAGATAAGAAAAATCTTACAAAGGATTCGTGCCCATGGCCTACTGGTGAAAAGTTATGGCCATTTTACTGAAATTTTTACTGCGAGTCAGGCGTTTCGGAAAAAACTAAAACGAAGGATTTCGATTTGAAATTTTACCTATAGATAGATTTAATAATCATTAGATAGGTCTGAAAGTTTTAACGACAACGAATGTGTCCTTCTCAAGACCTTCAACGTCTAGTTAAACTATATTATTGTGCCCACCTATGGTAACCAACTGTTTTTTTTGTAAATTGAACAACTTGAGAAAGGCAGGATGTGGGTGTGTGGGTGTGTGGGTGTGGGTGTAGGTGTGGGTTGCTGGGTGTGGGTGTGTGGGTGTGGGTGTGGATGTGGGTGTGGGTGTGTGGATGTGGATGTGGGTGTGGATGTGGGTGTGTGGGTGTGTGGGTGTAGGCGTGTGGGTGTGGGTGTGTGGGTGTGAGTATGTGGGTTTGGGTGTGGATGTAGGTGTGGGGTGTGGGTGTGCGGCGCAGGTGTGTGGGTGAGGATGTGGGTGTGGGTTTTGAAGAATAGAACACCCACAACCCACGCCCATCAACACCCACACCCACACCCACAACCACACCCACACCGGCACCCACACATCCGCACCAACACCCACACCCTCACCCACACCCACACTCACACTCACACCCACACCAACACCCACACCCCACAAGTTTTACGGAACAACCTAGGATTTCGACTAGTTTTTATTGATTTCCTTTCCTCAGGAGCATCTGGCTATACTCAAAAGCTGCCCATTCGATACATCTCATTTAGATCTGTTTAGAAGGTCATATGTCCGAGTTGGAAAGTATTTCTGAGCGAATTCTTACGGCTTTTATTAAAACTGAAGAATTGAACCTTGGATTAAACATTTTTCTGCGACGAGGAGCATCGAATCCAGTTGTAAGGGTGTCCATTCGATAGATCTCGTTGAGATCTATTTGGAAAGCCATATATCTCAGTTGAAAAGCACTTCTGGGCGAATCGGTTCGGATTTTAATGAAAAAATGAACATTGGATCTTGGATCAGGCGTTTTTCTCAGGAGAAAAGCATCGAATCAAGTTTTAAGGGTCTCCATTCGATAGATCTCGTTGGGATCTGTTTGGAAAGCCATATATCTCAGTTAGAAAGCACTTCTGGGCGAATCGGTTCGGGTTTTCTTGAAAAACTGAATAATTGGGTTCTGGATTACACGTTTCGCTGGGAAGGAGAGCATCGAATCAAGCTCGAATGATGTCCATTCGATAGATCTCGTTTAGATCCAGTCGGGAAGTTATATGTTGGACTTGGAAAGTACTTCTGGGCGAGTCTCTTCAGGTCTTAGGAGGAATCTAGGGATCGAACCTGTGATTGACCGTTTCTGAAGGGAAGGGTTTATCAAATTGAGTTCCAAAGGTGTTCATTTGATAGAGCTCGTCGAGATCTACTTGGAAAGTTGAATCATTTCGTTAGAAAGTGCGTCTGAGCGAATCGCGACAGGTATTATTTGAAAAACCTGGTTTCTAGAGCGGATTGAAGGTTTGAGGGCGAGAGGAGTATGGAATGGGGCACCAAAGATGTGAATTCGATAGAGCTCGTCAAGATCTACCTGAAAACTCAATGATTAAGTTGGAAAGCATTCCTGGGCGAATCGTGACAAGTTTTTCCAGAATTGTCTGCATTTTACACGTTTTTCTGATGATATTTGGAGATTTTCGCGGTTTGAGGCGGGGCTAGAGAAAATTGAATTATGTCGTTGGATAGAGCTCGTCGAGTTCTACTTGGAAAGTTGCTAGATTATTTTGGAAAGTTTTCTGGAGCGAATCCTTTCAGGAAATACTCGAATCCTAACCTAAGATATCCTACGTTGACTTTCGTGACTTTATTTTGACTTTTATGATTTAAAAGTCACTTAGGTCAGTCGTTTCCCCCTTCTAACTAGTACTAAAAGTTTTTTCAAGGCAATCTTCGCTTAGTCAATACTTACATGTCTTTTGCTTGTATTCAACTGGTCTTCTTGTTTTCTTTATATGGAATCTATTAATTTAATTGCTGTTATTCATCTTATTGACTTGTTCGTTTTTCTTTCATTCTTCCCTATTTTTATATGAATCATAAGATACCACTTCTAATATTACTATTAACACTTCTTACAACAGAGTAGCTTCAAGCTAACTCCCGTTTAAGTGTTTTCTTTGCTAAAGAATATAAAATACGATATTCGTAATATCTAATTTATTAGAATTTATTGCCTGAAAGTCACTAGAACTATTCAAAGGGCAATAAAAGTATTGTGAAGGAAAATATAATCAGCAATCGACAAAGAATATTTCGTATAGCAATTAAAACATTTCATCAGGGCTATTACATTATATCTTTATTTTGTAAATATACGTAATTGAAGACATGTTATCGTGATTTTATGTTTTTGATATCTAATTTATGTGAAGCTTTTATCAATCGAACGACCTATTTTTTTTCTAAAAAATTTCTAAGTAGTCTGTTCTTAGTTATACATCAGGTGGGGGGATGTTAAAGTGTATCGTGGTAACTAGAGTTCGTTGAATCATGCAAGTAACGTTCATAAAATACGGATTCACTTCGCCCTAGACTGAATGATTAAGTACCTTTTTAATTCTGAAATTTCAAGTCCATTGTAATTCCGAAAATTCACAAGGAGAAGATCCAAAATAATTAATGATGTGACTGTAGGTGTGAGTGTGTTTGTAGATGTGGGTGGAAGGAGCGCACGCTTTCACTCATATCCACATCCTTCTCCAGCTAAAGTAAAAATATGGATGAGTTTTTCAAATTAATACTGAAGTCAAGGATATCCAACAAATTTTGTTATGTATGATCATATTTATGTGTGCGTTGTTGCTATTCTTTATTCTTTAAAACTCAAGATGTTACTCTGTATTGCTTCAAGAAGTAAAGATTTTCTACCTTTGAATATTAACGTGAAAAAGTATATCGAAGTTTCAAAAAGTTGAAGAAAATACAATGTATGGTATTCGTCTCCTGACAAAAGCCGAGAACTGAAAATTCTACAATTCAGAAGATGTGTAAAATAAATTCAAAATAATTTGTAAACAACGTGATCTAAGCGTCGCTAACCCTCTACTGGAAGGATATCGTTGCGTTAAAAACATGGTAAACGAACACACGATTTGTGGTGTGCGGATCGAATAATGTTGTTTAGATGCTGCTGTATAATGAAAACAATCGAAATATATCAACAAGTGACGCTCTTCGACTCGACTCTCTTGGCTCTTAGCTGAATTCGATCTAATCATCGCCTCTCATTGTTTGCTAGATTCAATTTTGAGAACTATCGTTGAAAACAGACTAATTATCATACCAAAAAAAATTTGCTTGTAGCATTGTCAGAGAGGACCATTTTGTAGAAAGATCGGACCTTCCTCTTGAGATTTTCTAAAATGAACCTTCAGAGACTACTGGCAGTCGGTCGTCAGCGCCCCTAAGGACTGCCACTCGCAACTGTTCGACGTCGCGTATGAACCGGATTTAATCTATAGCAGTACTTCAAATCTTTGTTTAGGGGTGGCACTTTAACTTTAAAAACACTTTAAACTTTATTTAAAGTGAAACACTTTAAAACTTTAAACTTTAATTAAAGTAAAAATTTTAACACTTTAACTTTAACTTTTTTTTTTAAAGTTAAAGTGTTAAAATTTTTACTTTAATTAAAGTTTAAAGTTTTAAAGTGTGTTACTCTAACTTTAAACTTTAAAGTTTAAAGTGCCACCCCTATCTTTGTTCAGAACATTTTTTAGCAGTAAGAAAAAATCTATGAAAATTGATTCCATATTTGGTTGCTGATGATCGACTGTTTATGATCAATATAAGAAGAAGATTAATAAATGTTCAATGATGGGACCGACATTTTTAGTAGTATAGCTGGCATAGAACTTACACGTATGCAATATTATTTCTTACAGTCTCAACGCTAGCAAATTCTTTTCTAATTGTCCGTGCGTAGTCATGAAAAACCTATTGTATGATGTCTTTGTTTACTATTCGAAGTATCCTGCAATCCTTGTTTTTCGAATTCTCAGAAATAATACATGACATGCTTTCATTTAATATATATGACCGATGCGATTAAGTACCCTTGTGCACTGTAAAGAAATCTAAAGATCAATACACTTTTAAAGTGTTTGTGAGACAGCCACGTATAAAAAAAACCTTTTTCACAGTTTATGAAAATTTTCCTAAACGCTTTCGTAAACCTTCTAAAAAGGGCAAATGGAAAAGCTTATGACTTTTAAATACCACTGACGAAGGGTTAATGAAATGGTTTATAACATTAATAAATTTTTAAAGGGTTTGCCATATATTGCAGGTTTATATTTCCTTTGTAAGGGTACTTGAACTCCCTAAACGATTTCGAATAATCTTAAAATCAATCATAAAATGGACACACAGAAACCAAAAACGGGTGGGTGTGGGTGTGTGATGCGGGTGGGCGTGGCTGTGGATGTGGCTATTGACTTCATCTACATCCACAGTCACATCCCACAGCCACACACCCACATGTACACGCACACCCACACTCCACACCTACACCCACCCTTGTTCTATCGTCTCAAAGAACCTTAATTATTATTTTATTTAATTTTGTTGGTTTATTTACTACAAATTAGAAGAATAACATCATGACTTTCATTTAGGAGTAGAGAATGTCGACTAAACATGACCATTAGACTAATACTAAGAGCAACACTTTTGTTATGATTCTGAAAGAAAAATATTGCAGTTTTTATTAATCAATGCCATGCTAAAGCAAAGTCGTATCCCTGAGTAATTTCAATAGTCTTTCATGATATTTTTAATACAGAAGCATTCTAGCTACTGTTAAATTGATGCAACACCAAAAAGAATTGAATTCAGTCAGGAGCATGGCTGTGTTTTAGCATAACATTAATCAATACTTCTCTTTTATGATCGTATAACACAAAAGTATTGTTGTTGACATTAATTTAATGATAATGATGAGCCGACATCTCTCCTTGAGAAATATACATGAGTACGATGGCAAGCGACAATGGTATATAGGTCAAGACGAAGTCATAAGTATAGGTCCAAAAGCTATGACCGGGTTCGATCATAGGAAATATTATTTAAATTATCGTGATTTTGATGACATGACATATTCTTCTTTGATGTTTATACTTTTATTTATATACGAAATTAACTAGGTGAGGACTCACCAGTGTTACTGTGTAGAAGAAAAGGAGTCTAAATTCAATAGAATATTGGGTTACACAGTTTTTTTGAAAACTTCGTACCGCTATATTTTTACATTTAGAAAATCGATTGGTCTGGGCAATGAAGTGATAGTTGGAAAGGCGACTGTTCATTATTTTGTTTCATGAGTACGTGAAGATGAGAATCGGCAAGATCAAAATAGAAACATACATTTATTAAAGAAGACTATTTCATCAAATTAAGACGATATTGTCATTTTTTTTTTACAAACAAAGACAAAAATTAAAGATAAAAAGCAAGGAATGAATACTGATCAGAATGAAATCTTTGAAAAAAAAACAGATCGAATTGATTATTTTTAATTTGATTTGCCAATACAAATTGAAAGAAAAGCGATCTAAACTAAAAATGAATATGAAACGATGAAGAAGAACGTTGATAAAAGTTTATTTTTAGTGAACATTAGCTGCCATATATTTAGTCCAAATCATATTTTTCAATTCACTACGAAGTAATGCCGAAGATAGAAAACATGCACAACCAGTTATTCCATGATTGAAATATTCAAGGCCTTTTCCATGTTAAAAAAAACAAAGATTTTTTTTGATTAAATTTGAATTAAATGAAAATGAAAAAATAATTACCTAAACAAACATAATAGAAGATAACAACTCGTGTTAATACAATATAATCTTTATTTGATGAATAATAATTATAGTAACCAATTAATGCTCGAGGTATAATTGTCATTGATAAAAATGATAAAAAGAATAAAATTGCAATTGATTCTTTAACTTTAATTTGTAATGAAGATGGTAATTTTCTAATTTCTCGTAAAAGAAGTATATTAACAATTAAAACAGATAAGATTGGCAATGCTATATCAAGAATTAAATAGGACATAATACCAAAAAGATTAGAATTAAATCGATGATAACCATAATAAAAATTTTCATTATGTTTATTAACAATCATTAAACGATTATAATTAATTCGAACTGATTGGTAACGTTTATAGAGATAATTTGGATGTTGACTTAAAAGACCAGCAAATAAAACAAAAATAATTGCATAAGCAAATCGACGATATTGTTTACGTTTATGTTTTGAACGCCAATCTAAATGTGTATGATGTTCCCAATAACGAACTGTTAATAAACGTTCAATTGCCATTAAAACCTTCAAATTAAAAAATAATTACAAATCGATTTTAACTTTCCTCATAACTGATTTCCATTTTCAAACAAAGAAAAAAAAATCAGATTTGTCTAATTTAGTTCGAATTATTCAAAAGACCATCAAATCAATGTTCAGACGAACAAATTCAAGAAAATGATCATTTATTTCATCTTTTCAAAGGAAAATGCTTTATGTTCTTATTTCAAAAAAAAAAAAGATCTCACTTGAACATATTTACTTTCAATTTGTTTGATCTTCATTAAAACAATATTTCAAAAGAAATTCTGTTTTTCAATTACTTCGAACTAATCGAATTATAAAAAACAATGTTCTGGGAATAATTTTTGAATTAAAATTTAAAAAGATAAGCAATAATCATTTGCTTCTATCAATACGTTATTTAACAGAGAAAAGTTTTCAACATGATTCATTTTTCAGAAAAAAGAAATATTCTCCTAGACATCTTCATTATGTATTGATGAAAAATATTCAATAAGATCTGTCAATTAAATGATATATTTTCTTACTTTACACCAATTTACAACAAATATTGGATAACGATTAGTTGCGAGGTAAATTGTTTCAGTAATTGCACTGATTTGAACAACATTAGCAAATAAAAGATAATAATAAATTGCCGATAGTAGACGTATACTATCGAATAAGGCAATTATAATGATCAGTAAACCATAACTAACATGTCGAAAAGATGTTTTAGCAATGATACCTACTAGAGCAAGATTGGTCAATACACCTAATACTGCACAAATACATGTTAAAATACGGACACTCTCGAAAACGATTAATAATGAATGATCAGGAGGTAAATGTTCATCGGGATGAAAATAAGTATTAGATAAATACCAAGAAGAATGATTAAGCAATGGTATCTGTGATTGTGTCTCATCGTCTTCGTGATTATTCATTTTTCTAATAGTAATCGAACTTTTTCTTGCACTTCTTCATCATCATCATCATCATCACTAACATAGATTGATCATTTTCTGTTTTTCATCACTATTCTTATGCGCTTCTTTGATCAAGATAATCTCTTGGTAGGCCATGTGTTTAGGATTACAAATCAGAAAGAAAGGAATAAAGACAATACATAATTTATTCTTCTAAGTAAGATCAACATCAGCATTGATTAAATTTGATCAAGGGTTTATTTTAACAAAGAATTCCGTTAGAAAGTTCTTATTAATCATTACTCTAAGAATTTTCATCTAATAATGATATGCTTATGTATTTTTATTATTGGTGAAAAAGAGAATCAGTAAAAAAAAACAACAACATTCTCGTTCATAATGTGATCAATAGAAGATTTCTTCTCATTTTTAAACGAACTATAATTGATCAGTCATACATTTCGCCATATAATACAACTTTCTCTATTCTTCGTATGAAAAATATCGATGCTATTGATACGAGAAAAAAAGATACAATCACTTCAATCATCAAGTACTTTTTATAGGAAACAAACGTTCAAAATCTTGCTGAAACTTATTAACACTCTTGACATGACTCTCAACTCAAATTGTTCTGAATTGTAACAGTATCAAACTCGAAAAGTATAATTAAAGTGTCCACAAGTAAGATATCTAAAAAACTAAATGTATTAATATTAATTAAATAGAAATAAACTTGAACAATCGTCAATATTTTATGCATATCCATTCTATTAACCATAATCAGCTATCTTTTCCTTAATTCAAAAGTTTGATTAAGTCTGAATTTGTACAAGCTAAAATACTCGATAGAACAATTAATAAAATCTACAAAAAAAGCACGTTTGATTTAAATTCTATGACTTTTATTGGTCAATTATGATTTTTGGGGAATAAATCCTTCTTATTTGGGCTCGATACAGAAGAACAAATTTTTTACTATTAGTTGATTGAAGATCTTCATTTTCATCTATAGTACACATTTCGAAATATTACTTTGCATGATTTGTTATTTTCATATGAAATAAAGTCGAGCGTATAGATGAATGATGGATTTCTATGTATAATAATCAATACTTCTTCCGTTGGTTACTATTAAACTTCAGAAGAAATTCATGTCAACAATGTCAATAAGTTTCAGCAAGATGTTTAACACTCGTTTCTTGTTAAAAAAAAAATACCTGACGATTGTATTTAGAAGTTGATGTGAATAGCTTATATATTATCATACTTCTATATCAATATTGTGTCTAACTTAAATATTCAATTTCTTCGTTCAGATATATCATGCGCAGTTCATCTGTTAATTTTGCTCAACAGTACACAACCTTCCTTTGCAAGATAAACGATATTTACCATGGCGATGTTGATCAAACAGTTCATACAAAGGAGCATAGAAATTTTTTGACACTCATCATATATGTTGACAGAATTCAGATTGCCAAGAGTTTATGTCCAAGTGACTCTTCTACTAAACTTTTTTGATTTTAAAATATATACTTGTAATTTTTTTCTTATCAAAATTCGATTCGATTTTGTCGAAATAAAAATCTCTTTTTGAGTAATTAATTGTTTCTCATCGATAACATACATCGATTCGATCATCACAATAAAAAATAAATAAATTTCATTGTGGAGGTAATAAAGATAAAAACAGTGCTTGTGGAGTTCATAGCTGGAACTGGTCGCATTTTTTCATATCGGACCGAGCCGAGTAGGTGATATTCCTGGCTTGATCCGCAAAAAACCTATGTATTTTAAGTCTCAATTAACCAAACAACTCTTTCGAGAAACAGTCTATTAATTCGGTTCTACAAAGATATACAGTGTTGAAAACATAATATGATGTTTCCAATAGTAGAGACTACTATTTAAGTGTGTCACGTTTCATACTCACATATTAAGAATGAACAATGATTTCTTTCAAGAAAACATTTCGGTCTTCCTCATCGATGTATTTCGTTTCTTTTATTCGAATAATAAAAGCAATCTTTTTCTACTGAATGTAAGAATGAAAATAGAACATGTCTTCTTTCAATGATATGATGTAAATACTTTTATACGAAGCGATGGTTATCAAATCAACTGTAACAGCAGCTTTTCATTATGCAATTTATAAGTAGAAAAGCTTATATATTTGTTTATCAATGGTTAGAACACAAAATAATAACTACATTTAGATTTGTTATTATGGTTCACATTGATAGGAGTTCATCTTCTAAATCTTGTCTAAACGATACTCTAAGATGAATCAAACGATCTGATATCATGAGAAGGAAATTGAAGTTTGATTTTGTAAGAAAAAAGTTTAATTTTATTTCCTATTTATTTTGACATATGATTAGAAATGTCAAATGTTTCATTTTAGTTGTCTCCAATACGTCTCTTAAATGCAGTAGCAGAAACATTTTAGATATGTTTAAGTTTTATGAATATATTGACATTGAATAACACGTGATTTCTTAAGATTCTTCATGTCGAATATCGTGTCCTATTCGATCAATCTTTAAAATAATTCTTTAACAAAAATTCATCTATTTAATGCAAAGATTATTTATCTAACTTACAAAGAGAATACTTTGTTTGAAGAGGATCAGAAAAAAATACAATCATTTGACAAACTTCTTTTAATAACTATTCGGAATTACTTAAGAAACAGAAATAAGTATAATTTATATCTTCTCGACATAGTTTTACGGAATCGGAAAAAAACGCTGATAAAATTGTTTAAGTCAATGATAGAAAATATTTTCTTTTGCTTTCGAATATCTTTGGTCGTCTACTTATTTAAACTATATCACAAACATAGACTTTTGTCATAACATAAAGTGAACAGAATCATAGTTGTACGACTAAGCGGGTACGATCTTTAACCTTCACTCTCATGATCTTGATTCTGCTTTTTGCTATTAGCCAATAGAAACTATATATTGTATTCATCATCAACCGTTCATTGTTTCAGATCACCGAATGAATATAAAATGTGATGTTCTGCTTCCCATTCTTGTGAATACAAATATTTTTGTAGCATATAGTTATATTTGATTTCGAAAACATAGAACAAAGAAAAATTTTCCCTTGACTTATTTAAATATTGATATATCATCTAAATTTATACAATAAAGGTTTTTGTTCAACATTTGAATGTCTTCTCGGGCGAGTTGATTCTCAGTATTTTTGAATATTTTAATATACAAGAAATTTTTCAATCTTTCTACAATCTTAATTCATTCATTACATCATGAAATGCCTTTTCTTCCGAGCAACTGTTCTTCCAATCAAGTTACGTCACTTCGCATTGAATATGTTATTATTCCAATTGAAACATATCTTAATCTTAAATTACTTACCATCGTCTATGGAAATGAGTGCAAAGATCAATGTCTCAGTATGATCAATGAGGTTAGATAAAATTTTAATACATAGTGCTGAGAATTAAGAATTCACTTAGAATCTTAGAGCGAAAAAAAATGCTTTGTTTGAATCAGAAAGCACCAGGAATCATTCTCTACACTTTGTTCAAATATTTTTATGTTCGGCAAAGTAGAGATAATCGTGAGGATTCCAATCAGTAGATCTTTATTTTTCCTACAAAAGAAAAGAATGAAAGTGATGAAATAGATAGCAAAAAAAAAACATTTGCTAAGTCACAAAATATTATGTTATGTAGTATATAATCGGAATAAAACATGCTACTGTGTTTATTTAGGTTTCCAAACTATCTCGACTGATCAACTTCATATTATATCTAATCAATTTAAAATCAAACTCGATCGGTAATAAAATGATCGAAACTGCATTTGGTCATTCTTCTCTTCAACGAATCATTCTAATGACAAATGCTCGTAAAAATTATTTTTCACGAAACAGAAATTTATAAGGTAACTTGGCCGTTCGTTTGATTAAAATGGACTGTATAACCTCGGATTTTCATGGTGTAAAAGTTGATCATACTCCATATCAATTACAAAGTAAAAAGTATCTACCTTTGACACTGCAATATCATATTCATCATCTCGATCTTGATTTCAAGAATTGGAGATTGAAATTGCTATTTGAATTCTTATCTGCTTTGCCTTCATTAATTACATTAACAATTAAAGGCTTTTGTTGTTTTAACAATGTGTATTTCTGGTTATGTATCGACGTATGGAATGAAATGTTGCAAAATTTGAAGGCATTACAACGTGTCGCTATTGAGATTTGTCTCGCTTTACCAATAAGGTTGAGAAAAAAGAGCGTCAAATCTTTCAACGAAAGTGTAGCGAAAAAAGTTGAAACATGCAAACGAATAAATCCGATAGCCGGACCAAGAACAAAAAGACCAGGTGTAGGATATATCCAAATTAGTGCTTCACTTAATATGGACTAGGCTAAATTGACGAACTCCAAAAGCATTCCATCACTCATTGTATATTTTTTTTGTTAAATATTATTGTAAAAGTTTTTTCTGTGATTATTATTCAAGAAATAAATTCATGATTATTTATTCTAATTTCTTTATTCTCATGTTGTAAAACGGCAAAGCAAATATAAGAAGAATAATAGAACATAACACCGAGAAAAAAATTATCCATCCCTAGAGAATATACTGAGTTAAGGGTACCCGAAAAAGTATCCTGTTACCAGTATGTCACAGGAACTTTTGGGTACCAAAGTACTTATAGGTACTTTCGAGTATCTAAATGGTACTTTAGCAGGTACCCTGCTACAAAATGTATAGTAACTGGGTACTTGAAGATACTGATCAGATACTCAATTGGGTACTATCGTACAGTATTTTTAGGTATTCTACTACCAAAATTTCAGTATGTTCAGAAGCGAACCTGACCTTTCACTTTTTGCATTTTTTTCTCTCAAAGCGATTCATTACATTTTTTTCGATTTTATTATATTTAAGTTTTTCAATTCTGAAAACTCAACAGGTCAAATGTCGAGATCTGACCGAACTTGAATTGGTCGAGTATCCATGAGACCACCTCAGGATAGTCCGCTCTTAATCTACGATGAAGATCGGAATGTTCTCAACTAAGAAATAGTCAAGAAATAGTGAAGAAATAATCTAGAAAAATTAGTATGAAAGCAGATTAATTTTTTGTGTTTTGCTCAGTTGTGTATACGGAGCCGTGCGCGAAAAAGAAAACGGTGAATGAACAGTCGCTACGCAGAACGTGACAAATGTAGGGTACCCTGTAGAGTTTTCTCAGTAAAATTACAGATGCGGGTATTCATACCAGCACTTGCTCAGTGAGCGTACTTTTATGGGTACCCCTTGCAGTACCTACATCAGTATAATTACCGAGAATTTTCGAAGTACTCATATTAGCTACCCTGCTAAGGCTTTCTCAGTACATGGGTACCCTGAACTCAGTACTTTCTCTAGGGATAAATGTTCACAAATGATTGAGACAAATAAAAAAAAACATAGTAACTATTCCTATTTCCCTTTAAGTAATTCTTCTTGCTTTCAATCACTTATTTACCATGGTATGACAAACAATAACATTGTGGTGATATGACTATGTTCGAAATCTATTTTAGAAGAAAACATAAAAATTTGTTTTTTTCTGTTTACTATAAGATGACAACATCTCGAATGAGTAGTTCGAGTAGAATGAATGTGGGTCTTGTCATTCTCTATCTGCATCCACACGTACACATATACCCACACTCTCATTCATTAAGGATAAATAATCAAAATCAATTTCAAACTTTATTACTATAAAGAGAACAAATATGAGTATGTGAATAAATGTTTGGAAGTAGTGAAGATCTAAACAGACATTCGCAACGATTTCTATTAGGAAGTAAATAAATCAATGAATCATATAATTTTATTTTATGAAAAAGAAAAATAACAAACCAACTATTAAACAAATAAGAAAATACTTTTGTAATTTTATATATTCTTAGATTATAGATTTAAGTTTTTTGTATGAAATGGATATGAAGCTATTCGAAATCGACCAATACCATTTGTAAAAAAATCAACACGACAATAAATATAAGGATGTCCATCATCGATAATGTATGTTTCTTCAATATCATCATTTTTAAACCAATGACTCAAGTCAACATGATGATCAATTGTTATAATATTGAAAAGAAATATATTTATTCGTGGCATATGAATAAGTATATCTCTATGAAGAACAGTACCATCAATAAATGTTGATCGATTTTCAACATCGAGACATAAAGTTAGTTCTTCTATATTCGGCATTCGTCGAAGTAATGGTACTATCAAATTATCATATTCTTCTGTTGGCATAGTTGAAAACAAGGCAAATGTTGTCAAATTAGGTAGACTATTCTAGAAAAAATAGCAAGGAAGAAACATATAAATTAAAACATTTTAAAGGAAAGAATTTTTTTTCTACCTGATTAGCAATATTCAATGATGTAGCTTCAATAGAATCAATAGTAATGTTCAAAATTTTCATTTGACTGAAACGACCATCGAGTAGACGCAAACAATCATCTATCGTATTTACATTAACATTTAATTCGACTATAATTGATGATGAACACATAGTCAATGGTAAAGCATTTTGTCGCATCCATGTATCCAAATGAAGATATTTTCCATTAATATTCAAATGAGTTAAATGATGACAGACAGAAAAAAGACGTGCATATCCATTTTTATTCAAATCCATTTGTGGTATTGTCATATGACTATAATATTCAATAGTAGAGACTTCAAGATGTGTAATCCGTTTAAAGATATGTACGATAGTTGAATCATCTAAGCACAAAAATTAAAGAATGATTTACAATGATTGAATTGTTTGTATTTCAATATCAACAAATTTTATACCTGCTAAATATTTTAGAAAAGCTTCAGGTTTGATTGAATTTAAAATTAATTTATGAAGTTTAGGATAATCACAAATAAGAAGAATACGTTCCATTGACGATGGTTCAACACGAAGAGATTGAATATTGTTATGAATTCGTGGTAATATAAATAAACAAAATCGATCGAGTATAACATCAGGCAAAGAATGTCGTTCATCATATGATGCTTTAATTGTTAAATCGAGAAAATGAGTAAAAGTAGGATCACATACCAATCGATTAAGTCGTTTGTTAACACCCAAAATTGAAAAGAGCACATCGACTCTTGTGAGTTTATTGAAAATTTCAATAAGCATCTTATCAGGCAAATCGAGTAGTTGAAAAGTTGAATAATTCATGATTGATTTTATTCTATAATTCTTCACGATGCGTATGTAGAATATATATGTATGTATGTTAAATGCATGCGACCGCCATTTCAATAAATGATGCTTTGTTAAGCTAATTACTTTGAATATCGTCCAGTTTGAAAAAATATACACAATATTTTTTCATTGGTTTGTTTTGGAATTGAGATCATATATAGGAGGTTGATGAATAAAGATCCTCAATTTTATTTGTCTAAAGAGAGATAGAAGAAATAAAAAGCACAAGAACATTCTTTACATTAGTTTTACTATTTAAACTTATCTTTTGAAATAAAACAAAAAAGGAAACTGGCGATATGATAATTTTGTAGAAAAAAAACATGATTAGATTGAAAAATTCATAAAATGATGTTTACTGATTAGGGTGTGAAACATGAACATAGTTTGAGAATTAACCTGACATTAAATTAAATGCTAATAAAATAACAAATGACAATCGACAAAAAAAACCAATTCATATTCATGTCATATTTTTTATTCATAACAATATTTAAACAGTGATTACCGGGACTTGTTTGTTTGGGATTTATTTATAATGATGATATTTCAGCACACTGACACTCACACCCTTATCTTCACTCATATCATGTATTTACTGAAGAACTATACGGAATTTATCTCAAAATGCTTAAGAACTTATTGATAAGTCCCGGTAGGGTGTGGGTAATAGAAGATGTACACCCACACCCTATCAAATAATGTCTATTCAAATTGGTCTAGTACTTTGGAAACTAGGGAGTATGTAACTTAGAACCACCACAATCAATATTCGACTCTGGCCGAGGTTCATATTAGTTAGTTTTATGTTTCATTAAGTTATGCTTGGTTCCCATTGCCTGGTAGCAATCATCATAGAGAATGAATTAAATAATGCATAGTTTCTAATATGAATAATAATGGGGCTCTCTCCATAAATAGATAAACATTAGATGATCATGCCATGCAAACTTTTTCTTCTATTCAGAGGATTTATTTTATTGGTTTTTATCACAATGCATTGAGTTCGAATGATACATATGAATGAATAGCAGTTTTGACATACCACTTAGAAAAAAATATAAATAACAAATGAAATTTTTTTCAAATGAAAACTTGAATTGATCATTTAATAGAACATATTGAATATTCTACAAAATCAAGTTTCTCTACACGAATAGAATTAAAATGTATTGAGTGGATAGAGTATACCCTTCTACAATACCTAATTATTATTCACAATCCCACTAACAGAGATGACTGGAAAATAAGAAATGATCCAAAAATTGACTATGTCAACAATTGTCCATTGGACAACACAAATAGAATTCTTATGATTTTGAACATTGACATTACAAAGAGTACTTGCTTATTGATACAGTACTGTTGTTTTATATTGCAGACAATTGCATACAAGACAAGCAATATTTTGAGAATAAATATTACTACTACACTGATCGTTGTTGCGAGGACATAATTGAGACATCAACTCATGACATTGAGTGTTGCTACGTTCAATATTTCAAATGATATTATGTCTAGCTTCTTCTTTTTCTTCGTATTTTTAACATCGATTGTATTGTTTCCTTTTTAGCAATAGAGTTGTTCAGTATTTATTTAATAGGTTAGAATGATAACTCTATTTTATAACGAGAAAAAAAAACCTCTATATGTTAGTAATGAGAACGATAAATGAACATTCATTCTTAATAAAGTTACCGACGAAGTCCTATCTATCAGGAAAAAAAAATAAATATGATATTTAATTTTCTCAGTAAAATAAATCAAAACTCATCTTTATTAATAATAAAATATGACTCACTAGTTAAAAAGGAATGATTCAATATGAACTAATAGTATAAAAATATTAGAAGATAGACCAACACACTGAATGTTAATCAAATTGTCGTAAATGATAAATATAATGATCAACTGTTAATCGACATTGAAGGTCGAGAAAATATAAATAATTATCTAAAATAGCATTTATTCATCTTTACCAGGATGATAATTCGATTTCAATCGGATAAATTTGTCTGTTAATTCTTTCAACTTTGAAACATGCATTTGGTAAAATCAGTACTTCTTCTTCTTCAGGAAATTCCGATATCGATGATATATCAAGTACATATTCATCTTTTTTCAAATGATACACACAAATAATAGCTAATTTATCTGTTGATGAAATAGAAATAAATTTTTCAGCAATTTGACGCGATTTTGATGTTGATAGAAATGCTTTGTTTACAATATAATCACCAACTTTGTATTGATCGAGATCTTTATTCGTTACAAAGAGTCCACGATAAGTTGTGCCCATCCATCTATATTTATCAAGTTGTTCTGATTTATGAAGAGTTTTACCAAATTTAACAAACCATGTCTCTCTTTCTTCTTCTGTATATCTACGAGAGGAAAGTTGAGCATGACAAGTATTCAATACTTTGTAAAAATCCGTTTCAGCTGTATATGCACGTATCAAGTATTTTATATCGTTTGTTTGTTCGGCTTTAAGTAATAAATGATAGATTTGATCTATTCCTTGAATATTGCGTAAATCTGTAACATTAGATATAGCTTTATTTGCTTCTTCTAAATTGTTAAATTTTTTACTAAGAAAAATATGATCACAAGCTGTTTGAAATCCTTCTGCTCCAGTTATCATCCATTCAAAATCAGGTTTTTCCGAGATAAATCATTCATTTGCATTGTTAAATGATCGTCGGAAAAGTAATTTGATTTGTTCATTACAAGCTTCGTCTTCAGGTGTTTTATTGTTATTATTGAGTTGTCTTCGAGATGCGCCACATTCAAGTAACACTTTAACGATATCTGGATGTCCAAAATAGCAAGAAGCATGAAGTGCAGTTGAGCCATTTGGTTCTAATTGATTAATTTCATCTAATGATAATGTTTTTAGAAGACTCTTCACTTTTTTCAAATCACCATTGCAGCATGCTTTGTAAAGTTCACTCTCATTATTCATTCTTTTGCTTCTCTCGATAGACGCTATGAAAAAGTTTCTATGCGTATGTATTGCACAGAAGGTTATAAAAGATTGTTTTTTTAGTTACAAATAAAAAACAACATACTTCAAATTTGTATGTAATGAAGTAGAAAAGAAAGAAAAATCTTTCATGGCAACATTGACATCGTGGGTACGCAAAAAAACAAGGAAGCTAAGGAACACATTAATGATCGTATCTCTAACTCTATAAGAAAAAAAAAATATTTTGTTTTTTTGTTTCATACATTATCAATGGATAATGAGCAGAAGAATTACAACAGTCACAAACGATTGATGTTTTAAAAGAGTGACTAAAGGGTGTCCCAAAAGTTTTGATCCCTCTCAGTAAAATTAATAATATCTATATCAAACTTATATGAAGGTATCGATCAAATTATGTCATTTTGTAGAGGAAGAGAAGAGCTATCATCTGAAAAAAAACACAGTTCGAAATACATATATTTATTGCAAAGTTATAGTCATTTTACTAATTTTGAGTGAAAATTTTTACGTTGTATTTTTTGAAAAAATAAAAAAAGTTTTTGCAATGTTTGAGTCATCAACGTCAGTCAAAATATGATTTTCTACATTGTCTCAGTATATATTTTTATATGATTCGGTAAAATTCGACAAACTCTACCAGAATATGGATATCCAAAAAAATTTGGATCCTCTTTTCAATACAAAACTTGAAAGAAATCAGCTAGACTAATAAAAATCTGGCATATGATACATTGTGGAGTATACTTAACTTTCAATAACTTTGGTAGATCGACTGTTCAGTCTATTATTTTACATTTTCAGATACTTTGTTACGTACTGTAGGTGAAAATACTGTTTCCAAGCTTCAAAAACAGATCAATAGTTGATTAACTCAAGTTATTGAAAGTTAAGCATGCTCTCTTTAATGCAAGATATATGAGATTTTTATTATTAGTCTTTCTGCTTTTCTCCCAGCTTAGCATCAGAAACGGGATCAGCAAACTTATTGATAATCATATCCTTGTAGAGCTTGACGAACACTATCGAACTATATAAAAAAGTCTGGAAAATAATATTTCACTTCAAGTATTATAAGAATATTTTTGTTTTTTTGAAAAAATGCAATGTAAAAATTTTCACTCAAAATTAGTAAAATGACTATAACTTTGCAATAAATATATATATTTCGAACTATGTTTTTTTCAAATGATAGTTCTTCTCTTCCTCTACAAAATGACATAATTTGATCAATACCTTCCTATAAGTTGGATATAGATAATATTGATTTTACTGAGAGGGATCGAAGCTTTTGGGACACTCTTTATTTTTAACGATCAATAGTGAATTGTAATATAATCGTTTTTTGTTTTATCATTCAATCATTTACGAAATTTACATTTGTTTTCTACTACATAATCAAACTAGATTCAACTCTATAAGTTTCTCTAGAAAATTTCTCTATTGGTTATCATTGTCTCCCAATATCTTTATTCTTTATCGTTGATAGATTGAGAATTTTTTCTTAGAATTAGATTTTCGATAATAGTGCATTGATTACAACAAGCTCTATGTACAAGAAACAATATTAATTAGCCATTTTGCTAAGTCATTTTCTTTTCTAAATGTTATGATGCTTCATGAAGAGAATAGCTAAAGGCGTTGGACAGGAAAAAAATCGATGTAAAATATACAATAAACATTAAGAAAACTTCGAAATAATTTGCATTGAGTTGGAGAAAGAATTCGATAAATAGTTTTACAATTACTTATTCGCTATAAAAGATCGTATGTCAATGAAGTATTGCATCCGAAAGTGAGATAAGAAAATCAAACCACGAAGATGATAAATACGAAAAAGATCGTTTGATTCATGCCGCTGATACAAATGTTTAGACATATGAGACACGTGTAATCCGAAAGTTACATACATGAATAGAACTACAGATAAGAATGTAAAAAATAAAACTTACTTTTCGTCAAATTACAAATGTAAGGATATCTTTTTAGATCGAAATAAAATTTTCACACTCATATATAGATCACTAAAGTTAAGAATATAAAATCTATGATTGAGCAAGGTTCGATAGTACAAAAATCCATAGAGATGAGAAAACTCAATTGTCAGATAGATGAATAAATTCATATAGGAGTGCTAATGTAAACTTTGAACAGCAGAATTAACCATAGAATTTTTCAAACAATGAATATAAAAAATAAAATTACAGACATGACAATGTTATAAGAGAATTTCTCTGATTTCGACAAAGTTCTGAACGATAATATACTTTAAAATTGGTTATCTGAAAGTTGAACATTAAAATCAAACTATGAATAATAACACAAAGAAAATTTCATTCAACAACATCGATAACAACTTTACTTGAATCATGAATGTGTCACATATGATGACATAGTAAACAAACAAAGTATCTGAAAAGAGGCTGAGCCTTTGGAAGATTCACTAAAACAAGGCGAATTCAATCATGTGCAAGCTGTGTACGCGTTAAAAAAAGCTGGAGCTGATGATTTGGTACCGATCAATGAAGAAATTGCAAAGACAATGGAACAAGTATCTACCATTCAATAGAAGCGATCGCATACTGAACGTGAACTCACAGACAGTCCACAACAATAAACAGTGATGAAAGAATTTGATTCGAATGTAAAATTACAAAATCATCGATAGAATTTTTACTAAAATCATGATTAAACAAGTTTGAAAAACAATCCTCAGCAAGTTTCTTCTGTTTTTTTTTTACTTATGTAAAAACTAATCATTCAATTATACTACATTCACGGGAAAAAGTGAAATCACAGTTCGAATTAGATGACGGGTAGAATAACAAATGTGTTTATTTTTACATTTTGCTTATTTTTGTTTTTCATTGATATTGTAGAGCGAATTGATAATCGTTTGAAAGCGTTGTCGTGCGATTACTCGTCGTGTTTTGAACGTTGTTGTGATTAGGCCATTCTGTTGTGAGAATGGTTCATGATGAAGATAAATATTACTCATTGTTTCAAAATATTTCAATTTATTTTCTTTAGCCAAACGCAACAAATCAGTCATAATTAATTGTTTTAACTCATTGTTTTTGCATAATTCTTCAAATGTTTTTGTTCCTGCCGAAGTAAAATTCTTTAGTACATACTCTTCATCTGGTACAACAATGGCCACTACTGTTGTTTCCGTTGAACAACCATCGATAAAGATTTGAGAAATCCATCGAGATTGAAGATAGATATCTTCTAGACGTTCAGGTGCAATATATTCACCTTGATTCAATTTAAAAATATGTTTGCTGCGATCAATAAGGCGTAATGTACCATTGGCTGTCCATTCACCAATATCACCAGTATGTAACCAGCTGGCTTCACCTATTGTTTCTCGTGTTTTTATCTCATCACCATAATAACCTAGTCAAAAATAAATAAATAAAGAATCCAAAAGTTCAAATTTAGAAGTATATGAAAATACTTGACATTGACTCTCCATATGAAAACTATCTAGGATTTGAAATTTCTAACAAATGTACAACAGCCGGTCAACAATTGATCCTTTTTATCTACTTCTGTATAATCTATTGATCATTGGAGAAAAAAAAAACGATGCATTTGAATTATCTGATACTATTCACTCACTAAACTATTCGAAGCTTTTGAAGATCAGAAAAGTCTCCTCTGATAAAATAGAACTTACCTTTAAAAACATTAGGTCCACGAATACAGATTTCACCTTGATTATGTTCACTTCGATAATTTGTTCCAGGTACATCGATTAGTTTGATTTCAACTGTACATAAAGATGTTCCAACTGTTCCACATGACTTATCAATTACGTGTGTAGTCGTTCCCACACCAGTTGATTCTGTTTGTCCAAAGAGTTCATAGATTGGAATATCGAATGCAATATGAAAAAAATGTAATACATCACGTGAAATTGGTGCCGATGCAGATAACATTACTGACACTTTACCACCAAAAAGTTGTCTCACTTTTCGAAAAATAATACGTGAAAGGAGTGATGATTCATCTTTACGTAATGCTTGTTCGACAAGAAATCGTTTCACTTTATTTTTATTGACTTCATTCATAACTTTATCGTATACCTTATTCAAAATCCGAGGTACCATATAAATACGAGTAGGTTTCACGAATGCATAGTATTCAAAGAGTTTGTCAGGAGTTGGACAAAAAACAATTTGACAACCATGACTAAGCATAAGCAATAATGCAGCTTGTTCATAGAGATGTGCCATAGGTAAAAACGAACAATGTCGATCGTTGGAATTCATTAAGATATTGGCTCGACCTTCACGATCAGCTATAGACTTCATTCCTGTCGTGAAGTTATCGTGAGTTAACATGGCAATCTTTGGATCACCTACAATAGATATTAAATAGTTTCTCTATGTAAACTGCTTATATTCCGAAAAGATCAAAGAAAGAATAGATCAGAGCATTAAAGGAGAGATGTTTTTAATCCTGTTTTTTCTTTTTAGTGAGTTATATAGTATTAAAAAATAAATGCAGAACAACATAATTAGCATCGTCATAGTTAATTTTGCATACAATTTCTTTTTGCCATCAAAACGAGTTTAGACCGTTGTGTGAAAATAATTTTTCACAGTTATCTTTTAGAGTCAAGAAAAAATCAACTACTTTTTTAAGAAAACAATCCCGTTCTGGAAAATGAAACTGATTAGATGAACTTTATCGATTGAGTTTTATAATCTATTTGAATAAAAAACAAAACAAAAAAGGCAATGCTACTTCTTACCGGTTGTTCCACTTGTCAAAAGAAATGTAGAAATACTATTTGGATCAACGGTGGGTCGTGGACGTATATTGGTCTTATTCATTGCCTTTAAAATAGATGAAAAACTTCGAATTTTCCTATGTTCACCATTTTGTACTTCGTCCATAACAATAATTTCTTTGATTTGATCATTTTCGAGCAATTGCTTTTCGATTGATCGAATTCGTGTCAAATTATCGACAACGAGTATTTCAGATTGAGTCCTTCGAAGTGAATCTATTACTGTGCTTGAATCATAACTTGTGAAGAGACCAACCACAATAAAACCATACATATAACAACCATATTCAACAATGACATACTCTGGTCTATTGACTGACATTATGGCGACTTTCGAATTCATAGGAATAAGTTTTGTTTCTGTCCATAAATAAGAACCAATGTAACGTGCTCTTTCTGATACCATTGAATAAGACAACCAACGAATAGGTTCTGTTTTATTTTCCGATTGAACAAGACCTATACATGGACCATCTTTCGAAAGAGCTTGACCATGATCTAATACATCACCAAGTGTACGCACATTAGGATAGATTGATTTGTAATATGACCAAATATCAATATTCTTGTACAATGTACATCGGCGAATATGTTCGATGGGATCTATTTCGACTGTTTGATTGTTGATATCGATACCGTCGTCATACTTTAGTCGAGTGAGCGATGTGCGTGTTTCTGTACTCATACTTCGTTGCTAATAAGAAAATATTGATATCACTTACTCATATATTAAGCAGTTAGTTCATGTAAATTACAACTAAACCTACTGAACTTGCTGGTCACAGATTGAATTGACGTTGACAGATATTAGAATAGAAAAGGTTTGATAAATACTTATTCCGAACCAATTCAAAGAATATAATGAGCGATATATTGAGAAAAAGATCTTTATTCGAATCTTTTTCGTAGAAAAGTTCTCCTGTTTTCTAGTCAAATATTTGTTCAGAACACTTATTTCAAAATCCGATTATGATTAAAAGAAAAAACTTTAGTTTTCGATTACGATTGTATTGAATCTAATCCTTTCTGCATAGACAGAATTCTTTGGTCTAGAAAGTACCAGAGTTGAGTTATAAAATGACGCTAAAACTGGCTTATCTTATCAATGAACAGCACGAGAAAAGTCTTTGGATTTGAAGCGCGAAGATAGATCCAGAATACGATAATGATAATGCATTCACAATTCTGCCTCAGACAAAAAAGTTTCGTAAGCATAATGAAATTACACTACTACGCAGTCTCTATAGAGAGCGTTAATTCTAATAGATTTTTGGATCCAGTAAGTATTTAACCTAATAGTCGGACATCATTTTTTTCAAGCAATTTTCACACTATCAAGTCAAGACTTCCGTCTAACGATGGATGTATTGCGTACTGGAAATGCTGTATTAGCAATAAGCGACTGTGAATATTCCTTACTATCGTAAGGTTAATTTAGAAAAATGTAAAATAATAACATCAATAATCCTTGCTTGAAGAACAACACTGTTACCTGTATTATCATGTCAGAATAGTTTGATTTTGACCAAAAGGTAGGATGAGTCAATCGAGTCATAAATACAACAGACAAGTTGAATTCATTTTGTCTTAAAATGCGATTAAGAGAAGTGCTGATCGGAATTCTGAAGGACGTCACTCGATTTATGGCCATTCAATAGACTAGTCTTATATCGTTATTTGAATCTAGAAAATAGTAAAACGACTATGTCAGATATGAACTGTTCGGTAAATATGATTTAACGTTTGTAGAACCATGACGATTGTTCACGAAGCCTCTATCGATAAATTTAATGGGCTTCTGCTGATGTGTTGTTGAATTATTTTGATTCTCTCAAGGAGACAAAAAAAGATAACCTATTGATGACTAACATGTGGAAGGACCGACAATCTAACGCAAACAACTTGAGATATATTGTGTCTCTACTCGTTCTTTTTCACCAAAGAAGAAATTCAGTAATACTAAACTACACTATGTAAGATAAGGGACACCAGTTTGTGAAGTCGTATACTTTGAAGGACAATGAACGAAGACGTATTCCAATAGTTGAATTAATTCGTCAGCTGAATATTAGTCACAAGTAACGTTCATTGGATACTGATTTACTTGTACCTAGACAGAATTGATACTTTGTGCTTTACTATAGTTGTCATTAAATATAATCTACGATATTTAACGCCATCTCTGTTAGATTAAATATGCATCACGATGAAATTATTTTAAGTATAAATGAGATCACTTATGTTGTATCTGTCAGTCCACATCGTAGTATGTAGAGCAGTAAGGCGAAATGTCAATTAGTCTGTGGCTAAAGATAAGAAGTCACGTAAAAATAATGAGAGAAATGGATTTTTTCTCATCTTAGAATCGCAGACGACCAGAACGCAAAAATACAATACGGTACCATAAAGTAGACAATGGTTTTAAAAACACGTTATAGACAGACACACAGACAAAAGAATTAATGACTGTTATGCAGATCCTAGACTATTCAGTGTAGGGAATAATAATGAGTGTATGTTGACATAAAGGACATCCTCCAAAAATGGCCTGATTTGGATGTCGCTCCCCCTTATCTCCTCGGTCTTATAGGGTGTGGATGTGAATTAAATAAAAAGCGAATTAACAATCTGAATGAAGCAAAACATAGAAGAACATACAAATAGATAATGAATAAAAACGAAAAAATAAATAAATAAATAATCTGTTTTTGTACAATTTCTTATTTTATGTAAATTTTGGAATTGTCTTTAAGTTTTTTTTTTGTCATTTTTTTTTTAAATGTGAACGGAGGTTAATCTAATTTAGATTAAGTTAAGAACAAAACAATAAAAAATATGCCTCCCTTTTCGTCTTAAATGTTTTGAATAAGAAATAATATGCTTGATTTCGTTTGAGCTTTTTAAGCAGAAAATCGATAATTATTTAATAAGATTAAATGAACTTGCTTTATTTGAATTTGTTTATAAGAAATAATGTTATTGATTGAGACAAAAAAAATGAGCTTGTTTTTGGAGTTTTTGCTTTAGAAAAATAGAAAATGAACTCGTTTTAAAATAGTTTTAGAAAAAAGAAAAATATGTGAATTTATTTTTAAGATCTTGTTTTAAGAATAAAGAGAGAGTGTGTCGAGGTGGGGTGAGGGTGTGAATTGTGAGTGTGCGGATGTGAGCGTGAGTATGCATGAATAGTAGATCATCTGGACACCCCATACCCACACCCTATATGTGTAACATTAGTCGTTGTATTCTATTAAGTATTCAGATTTAAATAAAATACATTAGATAGCCATAATCAGAAGTCGCAAACGCTGGCCATCTATTATATGTCATCTGCTAGACCTGTTCATTCTAATTTCAAACACGAATAATAGCAAAATAGCATAGTAATTATGTTGAAATACATCTATAAAATCATTACTGTATATAAATTGTTTTTTTTAATTTCATTTTACTTTAGTAGTTTTCTCAACCGTGCTACCAACACTCATGATAGGCCACTGTCCGCTTATTGAATTTGTTATGTCTATTCGTATTTATTTCGTAACTTAGAAATACTAAAAAGAACCCAATGAGAAGCTGACAGAAAGCCGATTCTGTCTGATCGAACTGATTTTCGATGCATATTATGTTTCTTTATTTTGAGAAAAAGATTAGGACGTTGATAAGCGTCTTCTGTCCCGAAATGGTTAAATCAATCTCAATATTCAACGAAACTAAATAATACAGCTCCATAATCATTCAAACTAAAGATATATGTTATCAATACCTCAGAAATCACTTATTATTATTGAGTTTATTTTTCTTACCTCAGTTAATTCATTGCTGATGCTGTATGAGACGAACTTTGTTTTTTTATAAATTGCATAACAGGCAACATCTTTTTAAAAGATATGCAGAATTTACTTTCGTATTTGGAGACGCTAAAATTTATCTTGACCTGTAGTATATTATAAAAACTGTTCTACAAGTTGATGTTAGTCTCTTTCCATGTGGTCTTATATTTGTTAAAGTCCTAAATGCATACAAACTATTAACGGAAGTTAGGAGATCAAATAGAATATGCGGAATATTTTGTACAATTTGAATAATTGCATGATGTTACAAAATAACAAAGAGATAGAAAAAATCAAAACTAGAAAATTGTGTAAACTCGAAACACTATAGTATCCTTTTTTTTACAACTGTTCTTCTATTGTCTAGCTTTTGAAAATAAATCGATAAAATGTGGAACGTCATTTTCTTGAAGATTAACAGAGTACTAGATTTGCAATCTTTAGACATGTGGTTTTACTGAATATAACTAATAAACAAAGATGTATGAAGTTTTTTTAATAATCATTGTGAAATTGTTTTCTCATATGATAAAACACGAGAGTTGTCACTATAGCTCTCTTACACTTAGTTCAACTGGCTAAAAATTAACTACAAATTTGTGAAAAATGTTTTCCACTGATGTATTCATTTGCTCTCGTTTACACGCTTTTATTATGGAATTTTAAATTTTTTCAATGAAAAACCTGTGAGCATTCGATTTAACTGTCCAAAAAAATTTTTTCATCTTAGCGAAGGAAACCTGTAATAGAGCTCAATAAAAATAAAAAAATAGTTAACGAAAGTTTTAATCCTTGTAATTTTGTTCGTACGAAGAACTGAAAATGATGAATAAAGAGTGAAGAAATATTTGAGAAAACATGAAAACTTCAATGTCATCTGCTTGTGAATGTTTATATCCTTGATGATAATCATTATCATCATGTTATAATTGTCGATTTTTATTAATTTGTTTTTGACTTGTTGATATTGAATTGTTTGATTGAAAATGAAGTAATTAAATACTATCTTCAAGAGAATATTCTCAAACATTAAATGTTCGTCCTTTAACTTTTATTGTTAAAAAATAAAAATATACTGACGAAATAAATTCACAACAAATAAATAAATTCTGTTCTATGTGAAATATTCTACCGCATTAAACGTTCGAATAACTTGTAATAGAGGAAAAGCTTCAAGCATATCACGAAGTAACATATTTTGCTCACGGTAGAAGTATAAGTACAAACTTTTGTGCCATTTGTGACTAAATCACCTCTATTTCTTTAAGCAAACAATTTCATTCTTACTGTAAACTAACCGACTAAAATATTTAACCCTTTGGTGCCGGCGTTTTTCAAAAAAATTAATTTTTTGATATAAGTGAAAATAGATGCTTATTTAATCAAAAATTATTATCAAAAATGTTTTAAGGTATGATAGGCTTTGAAACAATCAGTTATGCATAACCCAATATCGCATTTCTCACACTGATATCTTGTACATTTGGCTGATTTTTCAAGTCTTGTTATATGAGAACATACATAACATTTTCTTTGAGCAGTCGAGGGTACAAGTGATGGAAAATGTCTAGCAGATAAACCCAGCGGTGAACTAGTTGATGGCCTCGCAACAGACATTCGTTTTTGATTTCTATACTTTAATAGAACGTATAGGGAGAATTCCAATACAGAATGTATGATAACACAAGCAGAAAATCCATTATGTAATATTGGAAAATACTAAATGCACTATGTGTGAATATCTCCAACACTTTCAAAATACTGATAATTTTTTGTATTAACAAAGGAAAATTACTCTATAGACTATTTGTACTTATTTTTGCATGATTTGGTATATGTACCATCCCCAAATTTTAAGAAATACTCGAAGTGGTACATATACCACGCACGGTATCAAAGAGTTAATCATTGTATATTTTATAGCAACGAACATCTGTCAGTAAGATTCAAACTGATAAACACATGATGCACAAGTTTAATATTTAGTAAATGCGACTGAAATCGTATAAATACTTACGAAATGACACAATAAATTATCATAAAACAACCAATTACTTTATATCCTCATACTCACAAGGTTTGAATATAACAAAAAATACTAATTAGTATATCATACATACAATCAATATGATAGAGAGATCAGAAAACTAAATGTACACAATAAGATCTCTTACTTTGGTTTTACTAGTAAAATAAAAAAATAAATAAAAATTCTTATCCACTATTTTTCTATTTATTGTGTTTAATACGGCAATTTTTTTATGAAATACTTGAGCAAGTGAATGGCATCATATTGTTTGTTAAACTTTGTTATTATTGTAAAAGAATTTTGTCTAGAGAATTTTTTAAAAATATGTTCGTGCATTCCAAACTCAACTAAATTCTCGTGCTTACTGTAACATATGTATTAGAATTAAATCTGGGGATGCCATATTTGACCTCTTATCCGGCCAGGTTCTTTGCAAAAAAAAGTTTCGTTTTTTTGCATGGAAACTAGCTGATGTAGGAGATCGATTTGCGGTTGTTTGGGAAGCATTCGCATTGGCGTTGTGTACACGCTCTCTTTAATGTACACAGCAGTCGTAGATTGGTCTATGCTACTATTGAAATTCTGTTTCTCTTTACTGTTTTTTTTTCTTTCGATTTCTTCTTCTTTTCTCACCTTTTGATGGTCGAAAAGAAGGCGAGATGCAGCTGGCGTTTTTTTTCTGTTCTAAACAAGCATAACGAAATATCGCTTATTTTCTCTCTCTTACGCTCTGTCATGTTAATCAATATTGTAGACTAGCTAAGTAACGAGGAAAACGATGACAGAACGAAAAATATAGGTCTTGCGTTCTGCTTGACATCTACGAGACCCCCGCCGAATCGAAAATGGTAAGTGTGTATGCGTTACCCTCGTTGAAAGGATTTACTTTTTTCTTTCTCTTACTCCCAAAAAAAAAAGGAAGTATTAGTTTTTCTTTTTTGCTGATTCTTTCATGACTAGAAAAAACTTCGATCTGACCCTCTTTTTTACCTCTACTTCTGTAGCAGGAGAAAATATTTGGTTTTTTTTTCTTTCCTTCTGTCGAAGACAAATAGTTTTACATCGACATTTGACGCGTTGCATCAAAATAGTAACATTGACATGGTAGATACATTTGTAATTCACAAAAATCATCCAACACATCTTACTAAATGTCCTAGTTTGACGAAATTCAGTCAAAATCCGACAATGGATGATATTCGAGCATACATAGAATCTTCAGTGCAATTACCGACTCTTCATTCCTATAACTACGAGATTCATGTTTACAATAAAAAATATTGCAAATATGTTATGCTCGAACAAAACTATTTGGATAAATTTAAACCATTTCAATGTCCTAATATCATCAATAATGAAGAGTCAAATGTATCATCAGTTGAATCTCATACTGATTACTGTGTTGAGTTGGAAGTTATTTGGTCAATAAAGAACAATAGCCAAGTAACATCTGAACAAATGCTTTGTAAGTTGAATTTTTGGTATTTCATAACGATTATTGTCTAATCTTTTCTCTAGATTACGATGAGCGAGAACTTTCCAATCGTCTTCCGAATAATAATATACAAGTGCCTTCTTACGAAGAGGAACACTGCTTGAGTGAGTCAATTGCCTTAGATATTTATATTCAAATTGATGTGTTGTTTGTTTAGATACAGCACCAGTATTATCAGTATCAAAGAGCATTGATTCGACTCAATCTGGTCAGTATACTACTACCATATTTTTTCGTTTCTCTTCAAACTTTACATCTAAATTTAGATAATAACGGGGTCTCCCCATCCGACATTAACTATCAAACTTTGAGCATCAATCCTATTGCAAATAAACAAGATTCAACTTCGTTGATGTTACATAAAAAAGATTCAATTTTAAGTACGAGTAAACAAATATGATGAGATTTGATATTGATTTAATCCTATTCTATTTATCTATAGCCGTCGACACGAAGATTCCCATTGATGTTCTATTGGTATCATCGACAGATGAAAAAACTAGTTCAGGTTTGTTTATTTGTCTTTCTTTTTTGAGAATTACTATCATAAATATTTTTTTGAGTACAATATTTTCTTACATAAAAATCTAACTAACAAGAATTATTAATAATTTCTAATAATGCATCTTTCAAACAGAACACTTTAGTTAGTTCAAAGCTGTTTTTTACATGTGATTATCAACAAATGATTGATCCTTGTGATCTTTTTTCATTTTTCTCTTGTAGAACAATCTAGTGATGCGGCATATATATCACCAGAGTCAAAAATTCCAGTTACCTCGACTATTGGAAAGGCGTATCCATTATCTACTATACTAGAATTTAATAATATTACTGGTATGTAATTCTACAATAGAAGACTTTAATGACGTTTCTTGACTCTGATAAATGTGCTGTGATCATACATAAAAGGTAATTTTGTTCATTTTCTTCTTAGGTTACGATACAAATATACAAATAAATTCACCATTATCTCCATCAAACGTTTACCCTACTACTAATTCCAAATCAAATGCATGTCAATTGTTGTCTATAACAACAAATGAAAACTTAGGTAAATTTTCAAATAGAAACCTATACTGTATATTTGTTTGTTAGATGTGTGCAGATATTCTAACTAAATAATAAAGAAGATAAACTTTTCTATGTTGTTCGTAAGGAATGTATTATAAGAACCTTTTTGACTACTTTTCATTTTTCTCTTTGGCCAACTATATTAAAATCAGAAAAGAGCCTAACGTAGGAAGAAAAAAATTCTACAAGCTCTCTGTTTGTTATTTAATAGTAGCTGAAAAAGATCAATCAGCAAAGAATGGAGTTTTTCAAGTTCCTAATCTTTATTGTTTCTATTAGAAATAACATTTAATTAAAATGATTATTATTTCATAACTTAAATATAGCGGAGTTAGTACTTGATAATTTCTTTTAACTTTCTGGGTGTCTTACAGAAAGAATAGAAACAAAAAACGTCTTTTCTTTTCGACATCAATTTTTAAAGAAAAACTCTAATAAATGTATACTTTTCAAAATATAAAATCAATCAACTCAATGATGTTTTCAATATTTGATCTTTGTTATTAGAGGGGAAGAGTTTCTTCGAAACTTTCTCCCAATTAGAATGACGATAGACATATGAGGCGTTTGATTGTGACCAAAGAGTAGAAAATACTCAACATAATATGACGGCTCGTATTTTCTTTGTTTGCTACTCGAAATTTGTATGTTTTTAGTTGTTTTTCAGAAGACCTGAAAAGAATGGAGGGAGGGTGGCGCTCCTCTTCATTCTATCACAATGTATTTTTAAGATTTTACATCTGAATAAATACGTAAAGTAGATACCAAAATTAATCAACAAACAGACTAGATTTGTCCTTCTATGTTTAATGACAGTTTAAATAGTAGAGGAACACATTCGATATTATCTTTGCTCAGCAAAACCCTTTTTCTATAGGTTGTAATGCAAAGGATTCGACAGGTAATGATGACGATTTCAATATGAAACCATGTTTCGGTGACACTGATTGTGATGAAATCTATCGAACAGCACACAAAGGTCCGGAAATAGGACGAGGAGTAAGTGTACAGAAAATAATAAAGAATATTCATTTAAAAAATTCCTTTCATAGTCATATGGTATTGTTTCGTTATATGTCACAAGGACCAAAAGAATGATTGCTGTCAAAGAAATAAAACTTGACGAAGATGACAGTGAACGACTTTGTGGCGATTTTAAATGGGTACAAGAAGTCTATATTCTTCGTGCACTCGATCATCCTTATGTTGTCAAGTATGAAATAGTGATATTTATCCTGTTTGTTGAGATAGACCGTTTAAAAATTTTAGATTTTATGGCATCTCAATTGAAAATAGCCGTTTGGTAAAAATTTTTACGGTATAAAATCCTATTGATCTTATGATGATACATAAGAATCATTTAGGAATATGTTCCAAATGGAACAGTCGACAATATGCTCAAATTGTTTGGTCCGTTTCCTAATAATGTTTTACAAAAGTATACAAGGCAAATTGTTGAAGGTGTTGCTTATCTTCATGATGAGGGTGTTATTCATCGGTAAAGATTGTAAAATAGCTCTTCTAGCGTGTATATATTTGTTTTATTCAGAGATATTAAAGGCAAAAATGTGATGCTGGATAAATATGGCAATATCAAACTGATTGATTTTGGTTGTGCAATAAGGCTTATGGAAAATCCAAATACGAATTCAGTAGAACAAATATTTGGGTCGCTGGAAGGTCGATTGAAAATAGCTTCACTTCTCTTTTATTTGTTCTAAAATTATTATTTACAGGTACACTCTATTGGATGGCACCCGAGATAATTACAAAAACAGGGCATGGAGAAAAGGCAGATATTTGGTCGATTGGATGTACACTATATGAAATGGCTACAGGAAAACCACCATGGTTATCTGAAGACAATTTTTATGCTGTTCTAATCATCATTGGTGAGATCATTTTTTATATATTACATACAATGTATTTTATTTTGCTTTTTTTAGCTCAGGGCACAAAACCATCAGGTGATCTACCTGAAAGATGCTCGCCAGAAGCTCAAAATTTTTTCCGGTTATGTCTTACTCGTGATCCAACATTGAGACCTTCGGCAAGCGACTTGCTGTCTCATACGTTTCTTAACTCTTGATAATCAATTATCTTGCTTTCTAACTTAATCATTTGTTTTTATATATTTATTTTTTTTTCAATATGATCTGTCTTCCAATCGCTCATCTTGACGGTGAGGGTGAATTAGAGCTACCATAACATGTTTCTATCTGACTAAAAAGACTATCAGATGTTTTGAAACTTGTATAACTATCTTCAACGTGAGTATAAGACGATTTAAAATTCTAAGACATCTACGATGATCATTTCGAACATTGCTTAAGGATTCATCAACAGATAAATTTGGAATTACATACTGTATATTAATTAAGGGGATGAGTTTGTTCTACTGAACGCACTGTAAGAAAAAAAGAGCCAAATAATAAATGGTGAAGTTGATCCTTTCTGAACCCTTATCACTCCTATTGGATAATAGCCAAAGATAATTGTATTCGATATATACATATGTTTTATTGTGAAAAATGAGTGACTATATATAGGTTTTCAACACTGCGTTCTACAAGAAGATCTAAGAGAGAACATGACGTAATGAGAGGAGAAAAAGCACAACAGATAGAAGAATGCGCAAAAGTGAATAGATGATATCAGCGGATTCGGATACTTCGTAACACCTTTCCCATTACAGGATGAAATGTCCCACTCATCATCATAAATATTAACATGTTAACATAATCGAGAAGAATTTGTCACCTTCTTCCCATATGATACTATCAAAAATCGATGTAGATTATATTTGCATTTGTAATAAAAGTTCCTATAGAATAAGCCGAATCCATGAAACATGTACCTTCTCTATATGACCATCGTTGATATACATATGTGCTGATTGGGTCAACTGGTGTAGCGTTAAATCCCTCTGTGAGACCATTACATTAAGGATGATAAGTTGTTGCTGTAATATGATTGATACTACACCTTGATGTGATTGCCTTGAAAACGTTAGACATGAAATGAGTACATTGATCGGTTAAGAATTACTTAAGTGTACCATACTGCAAAATGATGTTCTCAACCAGAAATTTTGCTGCTGTTTGAGGATACAATTAGTTGTGGCTTGAATAATGACATAGCGTGACAAATAATCTGTGCATACCAAAATATATTTATTTTCATTAGATGATTGTGGGACAAGTCCAATAAAGTCCAAGCTCATAAGATTCAGAATTCCAGTTGGAAGTTCAATTTGGTTGTAGCTTGCCGACAAGCTTCGTTCTAACAAACTTAAATTGTCCACATTTGGTATACGAGAGTACATATTCTTTAATTTTGTTAAGCATACCAAGCCAGAAGTATCGATCATGGATTTTATGCCATGTTTTATTACTACCTAAATGATCACTTGTGAGATTGTCGTGATAGGCTTGTAGCAACTGATTGATTATTGATGTTGGAACATATGGCACTTTTAATGTGGTTCGACCAGATCGATGAAGTATTTTATATACCGGCTCATTGTCTAATTTGTAGAATGCCCATGTAACCATGAAACGCATTTTAGACGCAGCTAAATGCATCTATGTTGCAAATCTTTGGCGTTCCAACGCGTTTTTATATGAAAGCTTGACGAAAACACATCTAAATGCACCAATCACTGTATTTCACGAACTCGTTTAGGGAAACTTCATAGTTTCGCAGTATATTTTTAGATTAAACGCATACAAACGTATTTAACCTTTTATTATGAAATGCGTTGGAACGCACTCATATCATTCTATGCCTCTGATCACATTTAATAGTGGAAACAAGCTATGTCTCTTCCACTAAAGCTATTTAGTTGACAGAGTGGTTAAAACGCGTTTCACTGGATGCTTCTGTCTATCCGTCGAATTTGCGGAAGCGCAGTTGAACATATAGTTATATAGTTTAGTTAGTGGGGATCAATACTTTGAAAAGGAAGTTGCGTCTATGCGAAAATGCGTCCACGAGTCCAACGTGCTACTTTTTCGTTGTAATGGTATTGTGATTGGAGGAAATTCTATTATGTAATTCTATTAGGTTTAGAAGGTAGTAGCTGAAAAAAAAAGACTTTTCCATTTCATTTAGATAAACATATCAACTTTCTATTAATTCATTTGAACAAGAATAAGAAGCCGAAGCATATTTCTATAAATGATTCTTTATGATATATATTTTAAGCAGGATAGTTTTTCACAAGTATCTCTTGAAGTTTTTAATCGATAATGATGATCTTGTCTCTGTTATTTCTGTGTGCAGAGACTCAGAATCATACAAACTAATCTAAGTTTACAATAAAGATCTGATTAGTAGGTGCTACATGAAAATCTTTCTATTTTAATTGAAATTAGAATAACTCAATGATATTCTTTTTATCGCTCATATAATCATGCTTAAACTTCTAAAGCGTCCTTGAATGTCTACAAGCTATGCAACTTGACGCCTGTGAACGCATCCAAAATGCAACATTTTTGGAGCTCTGAATGCGGTGGGAACGAACAAAAAGCAACTTCCTACATTTCAGTTCTCTAGCATCTTAGTACACTTATGATAATAGATTGTTATTTGCAGATCTTTTATTGAAAATATTTAATTTTTCAGCGAAACTATATGTCTTGCTCTACATTAAAAAAACACTTGTGAAATTCCGATAAAATGAAATAGTTGGAAATAAAAGTGTCATATTCAAAAGATTTATTTGTTTGCCTAGAAAATAAATGATGAAGTGGGCAACAACTTTAAGATTATAATCTACTTTCTGCTCATTCTTAAATATTTTAGAAGCAAATAAAGTTGTCAGCTTATCTTTATTGTGCTCTATAATAAAATGACTCGAAATGAAACTTAGATTTATCTAATAAAGATAAAAACATTACCGAATTTTATTACTTACAAACATACAGATAAACAATTTTTTAAAATTTATGCTTTTAAGAAAAAGATAGATGAATATTTTATTCATAAGAATAAAGAAAGTTAAATGAAAATGATAGTTTATCCTTAAATAAAAACCTAACACTTTATTTTCCCTCAGATACTTAAAAAAAATTTGATATCATAATCACAAAAAATTACACAGACAATAATATTTGCACATACTTTTTGTTCTAGTGTCTTCGCCTTTTATTAACATTGGATATTGAGATGTTAGTAGTAAGAAAAAAAAATGTTAATTAATGCCTTTAAATCACATATTTATATATTTATTCATTACAGAGGGAGATTTTTTTATCCTGTAATTTCTACTTCTTTTTAATATAAAAAATTTACTTCTTTATTTAAATTTTTTTCTAAACATCAAGAATATATTTATATTTATTTCACGAAGTAATTTAAAAGTATAATAGGTCTATTTGCAAAGTTGCAACAAGTAGTATTATACGAGCTAATGATGCGATTAATGAACATAGAAATAAGTTCGAGCTGTGTTTACCTCAGTACTAGTTGTGTTCGGTTCATAATCGACTGATCGTGTATTCAAATTTTCGTTCAAGCTGTGATTTGAAAAATTATTATTCTGTTGTTCATAGGATTTGAATGTTATATCATAGCTCACTATGGTGCGTCGATTCGAATCTGTCACAGAGTGATGTTTATTTTTTAATTTTTTTGAGGACGAAAAAGAAACACGTCACGACCCGTTTATTCACTGTAAACGCGTTCACAAACCAGAAAATGTTGCATTTTTGATGCGTCCCAACGTGTCAAGTTGCATAAGTCATAGACGCTCAGGGACGCAGTCAAGATCGAAAAGCAATTACCTGGGATGAAACTGTATTTCATTTTACACTCGCAAAATGAAGCAATAGTATTTTTGACCGATCTAGTAGATTCGACGAGTACTAACAATTATCCGTAGTGTTTTCTATTGCACAAGCCATTGAAATATCGCTCGAATGAATCATGAAGCACAAGATGATAACAGAAAGGATTGGGCACGTTTCTCGCAACAGGAAAAATAACGAAACTAAAATAACTGCGAATAAGTAAAATAAAATCTGGCATGGAGGGTGTGGGTGATCGAAGAATAATTGCCTACACCAACATCCTCAAGATGAATATTTTCCCTAATGCTTGATGTTTCCTGTTTTAATTTAGATTTTCAAGACATATTTTCAGTTCATTGTCTAAACTATTTCGTTAATCCTAAAATGAGTGACGATATTATATTATTCTATTAGTTGAAAAAAATATTTCTTCAAAAGCATATTCAACTAGAATAATGAAACACACTTTTCAAGAAATTAACCACTTGACTGTTAACGACGTATATATCCGTCAGAACAATTTTTATGGAAAAAACGAAGGCTATAATTCCTTAAATCTGTTTTTTTGTA